ATCTAAATTTTTGTACATGATTATTATGATTCTTTATCCATGCAGTGTATTCAAAAAAATACTCGTTGATCAACTTACTTGTTTAGGTTGTAAAACTCGAATGGAATTAAGAGTAGCAACACCACCATGAAGAATTCGAAGACTCAATTTTCCTGACATTTCTGCAGTAGTTGCAGTCGCGCTTCTCAATTCTTTTTTTGCAGCCCTACCAAATTCCTTTTCGACCTTTAATATAAGAGGACCAAGAGTAAACATCGTTTTGATCATAGTATGATCACTCATCATGTTTACTGACACGTCTCCTGATCTTTTAAGACTTGCAAGTCCATAAAGTGTAGCTTTTGCTTTTGGTTTTTTATTTTTTTTTGTCTGAAAAATTAAAAGAAATAATATTTAATAATATTATTAATTTATAAAAAATATTATTAAACATATTTTTATTATAATTTTTTTTTAATTAATTTTATAATTTTCATATTTTAATGGTTATGAAATTTATGTTTGTAATAAATATTTTTTAACTTTAATATATATTTTTGAATTTTTTTTAAGTTTTCTACATAAAGTTTTAGCTAAAATAGGTACAAAAGTTGGAAAAAATATCAATTGATACATACATATATCATTTTATATTAAATGAAACGAAACAAAATGAAATAGCAGTATGATGAAGATAGGAAAACTTAATTAAGAAAAAAGTTAAATTGAGATCAAAAACTTAACTTAAAAAAACTTAAATTATAATTTATAATTTAATGAATAAATTTCAATTAATAGTTTATCAATTTATATATATCAATTTTTATATTCTTTCGATCATTTATATTCATAAATTTATTACTTAATATTAATATTAATTTTTAATATTTTAAATCTTTAATGATATTTAGAAGATGAAATAATAATGAATATATAATATAATATTAATATTCTATATATCTCTTAGTAATTATTTTTTATTGTGCTAATATGATATTTTAAGAAGTTTTGTACAGTATTAGATAATTAAAAAAGTAGCTTTGTATAAAAGAAAAATGCAAAAAGTATAAAAAAAAAATTTTAATCGATAAAATAATTATTCTTACTCTTTTTAATAGAATAGAGGAAAAATGAGAAATATTAATTTTATAAAAATCACAATTTTAAGGTGAAAAACTCTTCTTTAACATTATATTTAGTTTTAGAGATGATTGATTATGTTTAATAAAAGTTATCTATTTGTAATAATCAAAAAAAAGAAAATTTTCATTCTTGATATTTTTTTTTTTAAATATTTCATGAATTGATATGCATAAAAATGTATAATTTCAAATGCAATCCAATATCATTTAAAACTATCTGTAGAACAATATTGTACGGTTTTATAAATGGTTCTTTGTTATATTTTTCTTTTATAAAATGAAGAATAGAATATTTTTGGTTGCATAATGTATTCACAAGTATTTTTCATTATTATAATAACTATATAACTAATATTTATAATGAATCTATTTTATAATGAATCTATGTGCAAAAATTTCCTTATATACATATAATAAATGGAATGCATATAATAAATGAAATAAATGTTAATAAATAAATAAATATATCAATTTATTTTTAATATATTTTTAAAAGACTGTAAATGCAATAAATAATTCATTCTAATATATTCTATTTTAATAGTTAAACGATGTTTATATTATTATTAGCAAACTTTAATTATTACCTTATTTTTGTTGTTGTTATTCTGTTTGTTTATTTTTTTTTGATTTTTTGTTCCACCACGAGTTTTGTTCGATTTCTTGTTAGTTTGATTTATTAAGTTGGATACTCGTTTGTTTGTAGATTTTGTATTTTGCATATTTTTTGATTTCTTGATACTTGAGTTAAATACTTGTCTGTTTGTAGTAGTTTCCATATTTGCAAATTCAGATATAGTAGTGCTAGGCTCTTCTTTTTCAATATTTGTAACGGATTGATTGATGATTGTATTTTCAGTGGTTTCCATTGTTTTCTATAAATTAATTCAAATATTTAATTTTTTAATTACTATTTCTTTTATATTGAAGAAAATATGATTTAAAAATATTTTTTATATTTTATCAAAATAATAGATATAATTTCAAATAAAAATTCAAAATAAAGAAATTAATTTTTCTATCTTATAATATTTTCAATATCCTGGATGTTTTATTTGAAATAGATCAACTAATTATTTATCTATTATATACATATCTATCTTATCTATTATATTACTATAAATTTTTATATAATAACTTTAGAAATTCAAAAGAATTTAATCTTAGAATAAAAATATTTTTTGAAAATTAATTGTCTTCTAAATAATATCTTGCTTTTATTACAAATACTTATATTAAATATATCAATGTTAGTCAAATAAAAATATTTAAATATTTAATATATTAAATAG